TTTTTTTTTTTTTTTTTTTTTTTTCAAGTAAATTTCCCTAGAATACTAATTATAATTTTTTGAAATTTGTATCCTTTCACAAACATTCTTAGGTGCATGAGGCCAGCTTCAGCTGGTTTCTAGGTGGCTTCAAAGTGGACTTCACCACAAGTCAGTTATCTTACAATGTCCAAACATAGTCATCAATTCAGTTCTGTGATTAATATTTTTAAATCATAGGAGTACCCTCTGAGCAAGTACTCTTAATGATCAGAGGCACACTGAAATTCTAATTTTACTTCATTTATTCAGATTTTCCTTTCAAATAAATGGCCATTGAAGACTCAAGTATCCCTCCCTTGTTCAGTATTTGGATGATTCAATAAAAATAAATGGTCACGAGGATGTTCATACATCACTTGGAGTAAATTCTGGCACATTTTAAATTTCAAGAGTCCTTCCAGAACACAAAGATGATAGCAAGAACTTACCTGAAATCATTCCAAGTTACGGTACATTCTCCTTCATTCGCACAGGGATTTGATGCACAGGAATCATCTGATATAACGCCCTGCAAGACAGCCATGGAGTCAAACGTCACATTCCCAAACGAGGCAGGGATTTTCACATCACTCACTCTCAGAGGGAAGAATTCTACCACCATTGTTGTTATTCCGTTGTTTATCTGGAACAAAAAAAAAAAAATCATTGAATAGATACAAAGTACTCATAAAATAAAAATGATACTAACTAAGGGTCTCAATGGTTAAAGAAAACCCTGTTTATGGGCAGAAAAAATTGAAAATCACTTGAATGGCAACGCAGCTGTTAATTAATTGAAAGATGAGGGCAGCAGCTCTACACTGGTGTTGTAAGGTTCCCTACTTTTTCAAACCTATTAAAAATAGTACACATTAACGGATACATCATTTTAACAAAATATTATTTGCACTCCGTGCCATTTTCCTCCGTATTACTGAAAAGTTTGATAACAGGACCAGAGAATATGTCCAAATGAAGCTGAATTAAAACTTATACAAAATTCGAAGCACCTCATACTGTAAGAACTGTTTTGATGGTGTAACTTAGAAAGGGGCAATGACAAATCTAGTAGCGAATAGTTGACTTTTAGAGTTTTCATTTTAGAAGCTTTTCTTTTTACAAATCTGAACCTAAAGGCTTTACCACAAACGGCTGGGCAAAAATAGATCGAACATTTTTATTCTTTGACTGTCTTTCCTTACACATAAAAATGAATTTAAAACAGGATAATAGTCAAGATCATACCTGCACATCTTGAATGATTCCTTTGAATGGTGATACTGTGTCAGAAGCTTGTCGCACTGATCTATCCACATTTCTTGTCTGTCTTACCGGGGTAGGAGAGGAGCGCAAGTGAGGCATTCCACCAAGAAGCAAAACCTGAGCATCTAACTGGCCAGTAGCGCTAATTGTTTTTCTGAAGTACTCAGTTCCGTTGATCTTCACTTGCACCAGAGTGACATTACGAACAACCTGAAACAAAGAAAAAATCGTTACTTATCATCATGATTTGAACAGTATTCTGATAATTCTGAAGAATTGTATAAAAACACATTCCCTTATTTTTTCAGCAACTGTGTCAAATTCTGACAAAACACGAAATTTATAAGCAACGATGAGCCACGAACGTTGTTTTTGAGCGCTATTTGGAATTGCATTAGGAAGAGGTATTGAAATTTTAATAAATTGCCAGGAAGGCAAATACTAAGTGACAAAAGGGGAATTATATGCAGTAAGTTTATCTTCTCGCAACTTTGTGCGGGGCGATCTCACAGCTTAAAGATGACAGATGAGAAGGAAAAAAAAAACATAAAAACGTTGGCACGCCTCACATACATGCTATTGTAGTATCTGAATATAAGTGGTACTGGTACAGGCATAACTTTAATCTCACCGACTATGATTGATTTTATTGAAAGTCAAGTTTGGTGTTAGAAAATCCTCCTATGGTAAGAGAAAAATGGATAAAATTATGAGAATGAGTGGTAAAAAGTCTAGAGATTCTACTGTCTGAGAGAGTATCCCTCATTTTGACAGTGGACCTCTTACTTGCAAAAGTATGAGAAAACAGATTTGGAAAAAGAGGAACATTCCAAAGGCTATGGTAACATATGCGCAAAAACTCATTGACAAAGTTCAGAAAAACATATATTAAATTTGATTGATTTGTCTTACTTGAATCAAATGATTATGTCCATCGTCCAACTTGACTCCACCAACCGTGTATGATTCTTGAGAGCCACTTAACTGGATTCGAACTAAGAGCTCACCACCTTCCAGCTCAGCAGCAATGTGGGTTTCATCAGAGAACGAAACAGTACCAGGCGATGAGCCCAGATAGAAGATAGCGCCCTTTGCTTGTCTGGTTCGGATGAACATGGAGATGTCAACGATGGTTCGAATGGCTCTTCGAGCAGTTGATGCTACTGCAACACTCACAATGCTTCCTGTTGAGTTTTCGTGACCAAACGTAGCTGCAGTGTAATCTGAAAAATACCAAGTTTGCAAAATGATGAATGTTGTACAAATCTGACTGCTACAGATTTTCTGCTTTGATTTGGTGCTATTTGTGCATCACTTGCAAAAAAGTGCACTAAAGGAACACCGTAATGTAAAGAGAAATTTGAGATTGTCTCAAGGCCTTGCATAGTTACCATATCATCATTGCCATGAAACCAGGAATGCCCACACTTACAACCACCTAACCACAGGATTCGGCAATAATAACAATAAAAGTTCAGTTTTCAAGCAAAACGGCATGTGTAATGGAGGGAAAAATACAATACAATCTCATTGCGAGTTGATAAAATAAAAGGTTAAATCCCCAAATCCGACTGACTTCGTTTAAAAATAGCCGCACTTATTGTCAGTAAATGAGGAAGTGATCGCACTGCACCGCGTTTCGCAAGACGAGCGTACATTTAAATAAACCGCCAAACGCGACTAGAGCGCTCCTATTGGTTGAGCAGACAACCACTACCATTGCTTCATTCTACCACCAGCAGAGCGCGCTCTCTTCGTATTGTTAACATCGCACAACCTAACCTAAAATATATGACGGAAATTCAAACGAAGCACAGCACAAATTTTAAGTTATAGTTTTCTACGAGCAAAAGTTACGAGTTTAAATGTAGTGTCAAGTTAATAACATAATTTTAAAAGTTTCTCTTAACATGCCTTACAAGAAAAACAGGAAGTCAGCTTCAACTAGCACCCACAAAGGTAGGTCGGCAGCGAAGCATGACTACTCTGATAACTTCGTCAGTAGATTTGGAGCTACCTCTATAGAATCCTCGAGTGATGAGGAAGGAGTCTCGGTAGACTTCCCTGTAGCGATGTGGGACTTGAAACATTGTGACCCCAAAAAATGCTCGGGACGTAAACTAGTTCGACATGGCATGGTGCAAATATTAAAAATGAATACAACATTCAATGGTCTTGTGTTGACTCCAGTCGGGGAGAAGTGTGTATCTCGTGCGGATAAAGACATTCTTGCTCAGCATGGTGCAGCGGTAGTAGATTGTTCTTGGGCGAAAATCAATGAAACTCCTTTCTCACAAATGCGAACGCCTCATCCGCGTTTATTACCTTTCCTGGTTGCAGCGAACCCGATTAATTACGGCAAACCGTGCCAGCTTTCTTGCGTTGAGGCTTTGGCGGCCACTTTTTATATTATAGGTTTCAAAGAAGCAGCAGAGAGCTATTTAGGCAAATTTAAATGGGGCCATTCATTCATAGAACTTAATCAAGAGCTGCTAGATATTTATGCCGCATGTGCCGATAGCTCAGACGTTGTAGCGAAACAAAATAAATACTTAGAGGAAGCAAGAAATGTTAAGAAGACAACTACTGATGCGTATGAGGATGAAACTTTGCCTAAGTACGATTCAGACACGGATGATAGTGAACTTGAAGAACCAAGAGAACAATGAAGAAGGGTGACCTGCCTACTGCACTGATCTTATATAACGTATTTTAGCTCATTAAGTTTTTTTTCATTTATGGCTGTGAAAATCAATGTACTATTTTTGTGGAGTTTACAAAAAATAAATGTGCATTTATTATAATACGACGTTTTTATTCTTTCACTTCTTTCAGTAGACATTTAACTAAGTAAACACCTAATCCACTAACAAATCCACATTGAGATTTTTCCTTCACAATTTTAATCCCCTTTTCCCTCTTTTTATTGTGGAATTGGGAAAATTGCTCGATGTTTTTCCTTTATTCACCAGAAACTTAGAAGATTAAACAACATGATAACAGCTGTACTTGACATCAGAATTATCATCAGAAAAATGTTCCTATAATTTTTCAGTTATGCTAAACATTTGTGTGACTCTAAGATTACAATCTAAGAGACTAGGATGTTAGAGGTATTGTCAGCTAAATTGGCACTTGTTCACATTCCACTTGCAAGCTATCACAAAGTAATCTCCCAATAGCATTTGAGGATTGACCACGGCCCGATCATAAGCGAAACCAATCCTCGATCCCTGTTGGATGACTGCATTGCAGTTGCTTGCAAATGAAATGTAAACAAGTTCCAACTTACCTGACGACACCTCTAGTATTACATCACAGCCATTAGTGCTCGTTCCTGTGAAAAAGAAATACTCAGTGCACAGCAAGAACAACTAAATTGCTGGCAACACTGCTGTTGTGGACAGATGCGTAAAATGGTCTATTGAGTGAGACAGTCAAAAGTAAGCCACTGCCGACTTGTATGCTTCAATTTATTCACACACTCCATAAAGAAAATAATAAGACACAAGAGTAGCGTGTTTGGCACACATAAGATAAACTTTGAACTTACTGTATTGGCAAGTGTTTCCAAGGAATGGTCTCTCACAAGTGCAATTGAATCTGCTCCAGGCATCAATACAGTGCCCTGAGTTCTGACATGGATTTGGATTACACTGATCCCTTCTAGGACATCCAACTTCGATATCGAAAAATTGTGCAGCGGTGTTAGTCTTGTCACCAGGAACAACCTGAAAAAATAAAGGATGAATGAGGGGTGATGAGTAATAATTTTGGAAAAGAAATAGGTCCACTTTTCAAAAATGTAATATGAAGGTATTTATGTGCCAAGTTTATTGTTAATTCAAGAATCAAAGATACATTTCATAACATTATTAAAACTTTCAAAATCATTTTTATTTTAGCATGTTTTTGCACGACCGTTGCCTGCCTCCTTCGAGGAGCTGTGCATAATAAGTTCTTGACTTTCTTTTCCTTGGCTACGTGGTGTCCATTGATTTTCATTGTACGATTAGCCGACCACAATAACAGTGTTGTTTGACAGAGTCCGGCTAATAAAACAGTATAAATTGCCTTGAGACTCTGTGAAGAATACAATTCTTTGTGCCGTGCACAGTTTTCTGAGGAGAGAGGGCCCAAGTTCTGACAAACCCCATCTCAAAATAAAATTGGTGAGGAACTATAAGGGTTCTAATGGTTTAAAGCGATTTATCTGTTGATTATAGCAAACTCTAGGTTAACAGGTTTTAGCTCGATTCATGTTGCAAGTATTGAAAACATTTTGAGCTTCAGAGACAAAACAAAATTAAAACAAGCAAAATTTAGGAATTGGAGAATAATGGGCACTAATGCTTACCCATTGGCCGTTGATGATGATATTCTGAGTGCAGCCTATGAAAGATGTTGGTCCATGTGTAAAAATGCGCAAGTTCGATGTTGTGCCGCCAACATAAGTTGTCGGGAAGCTAGTGTGTGCAGCAGTTGCACCCTCATTCAAATTGATGGGATAAATAGTTTGCTCCTCATTGGCTGATAGAACAAGATGGGATGCATTGATAGCGACAAAAACCTGAAAAACACCCAAAATAATAGCATTTAAAGCACAGTTAATTTTGAGGCTCAGTTCGTTCGCCTGTTCCATGAATAAACATCTAATTCAAACAGAACACTGTCAGCAGTACTTATAGTATCTTTACTTATTTGTGGAGAAGATTATTAAGTTGTTATTAATGCTCTACAGCATGGCATTACTTACTTGTATCAAGGCATTTTTTGATTCTTTAAAAATTCCTCTGAGGCATGATTTTGCAAATTTTCATCAGTGCTTTCTTTTCTTGAAAAAAGAATTACCAAAAATTTGAAATTTTGAGAGAAAGAATTGGGATTCTACATTTTCAGGAGGGCTACAACATAGATTCGTGTCCCCCAGAATCCAAGATCCAATATTAATTTATGCCATAGAGAGTTATGGTTTAATGAGATGTTGGATGTATTGTTAAACCCAACAAAAGTGCCTGCTACTGAAGCTTGACAAACATTACCCTGTCAACAGTTTTGCCACCGTGAGGGGCAGTCATGCATAAAAAATGTCACTCAACTCATTCATCCACGATATTTTTCAAATACTGAGTAGTCTCTCAATAAAACAAGCAGAAATGTCACTTCTTAGCTAAATCTTACTTTGTGCCAGTTGCTGTCATTCAGTTGAGATCCGATGAAAACACCCTCCCACTTGTTCAGTAAACTCGAGTGAAGATTCAGCCTTCCTTGTGCCAGTTTTAAAATGTAATAAGTGGGTCCGCTTCCCAACGCAAGGAGACCACTTGGTAAGGTGGTTTTAAAGCGGAAGGAAATATCGTAGCCTTCGTCTCTTGATGTATTCACCATTATATACGAGTTGCCACTCAAAGACATTGTTGTGACCTGATGAAGAGAAGAAATAAGAAACAGTGAGACCATTGGTTAGGTAAAATTGTTGAAACAAAAAAATTTAATGAATTCTCTACTAACCGTACATTCAGCAATACCAATCTTACCACCCATTAGTTGTGTGCAACTGATTACTAGTAAAAAGATAAAAGTGCTCCAAAGGCACTATGGATCAAAAAGGTGAGAATTTAAGAAAATTAAATTCAAGTTTTTTCTTCGCAAAAAGTTGTTTAAAAATAACTGTTTTGTTGTGGCTTAGCGTGACAATTCCAGCTACAACTTGGTTCGACTAATTCCTAATTTTATTACCGTCATTAAAATACTTGCTATACCTTTCAAGACAAGCGTACAAAAAAAACAAAACTGCCCCGCTAGCACTGAAGAACAGTACTTATATAATATAATCAAGACGTAGTAAAAACAAAAAAACAATCCATCAAAATTTGTATTTATAAATATATTTTATCTATTGATCTAAGACTTACCTTTTCACAAATTTGACCATGGAATCCATACGGGCAGGTGCAGTTGAATTTGTGCTCAGTTTCATTGTCCAAGTAAGGTTTACAAGTTCCATTATTTAGACAAGCATTCGGCTCATTGCAACCTACAAGCTCAACAGAGCAGTTCTTGCCTCCATATTGCGGAGGGCATTCACAGAAATAGTTTGCCCTTTTGTCGATACAAACACCGTGCACACATGGTCTGGAAAAGATTAACAGAATAAAAATTCACATTTAATAAAATCTGAGAAACTTAAAAAAGTGTAAATGAAAAGAAGATTCCCAAAAAATCACGCAAAAAATTTCCCACAACCTATCAGGAGCTGAACATTTGGGCAAAAATATAAGCTTTCCTAAAACGATTTCTCAATTTTTCAATTGATTGTTGTGCTTAGAAAAAATAAGTTATTAAGTTTATCTGATAAGAATTGATCAATATCCTATCCCCTACTCGATAAGTTTTTCTTGTCATAAGCAGTAATTCTATAGGCAATGCATCGTTGTCAATCGGATTCACTTCAAAAAATTTTACCACTTTTGCTACAGCTGTGAGTCAACCCTCAACCATTTGCTTCAAAACACTAGCCCAAAAGAAAAACTTCTAACAATCATTTTTTCTCCACAAATCATGTGAATATCACCATATGTTTTGTCAGCCACGAGCATATGCTAACATTTACCGCGAATCTCACCACCATCTGGTGTGGTAATAAGAGTAAAATTGGCTCAAAATAAATACAAGAAATTGATAAGTAACTCATGGTGGGTCAACCTGATAGGAGACAAAAAATGTACATGTTTCTGAGTTGGACGTCCTAACCTTAAACTTTCCTGACAATAAATAATATGTATTGAGAGCCACTTAAAACAAGTGAACCAAGACAGAATTTGACATTTACTCCGGAAGAAATCCATGAATCAGTTGTCATGCTTCAGGACTAACACCTACCCTCCATAGTTTTCTCTGAATGTTATCAATCTGTGGCCGTCAGGTCATAACTGGGGAATCATTAAAAACTTACTTGTATTTTTCACATTCATTAATATCCGTTTCACAATGAAGTCCTTCAAAACCGTCCTCGCATTCGCAAATATAGCCACCGATCTGATCTTGACAGACACCATGAAGACAGGGATTACTGTCGCATTCCTGGATATTAATCTCACAGTTTGTGCCCATGACACCAGGGACACATACACACTCATAACTGAAAATAATTCGAAAATTCAACAAATTATTTGTGAGGAAAAAAGAAACTAATAAAATGCACTAAATCTTTCGACAGGGCAGGACAAAATAAGTATGCATTGTGACGAACCATAATCCAAGATCAAACAACTATCAAACCAAGTGTCAGAATAAACTGTTTTTCACCTTCAAGAAACATGAAAAAACTCTTCTAATTGTGTCACAGTAGCGAATCTTACGTAGCCATGCTGGAAGATTTGATTTCAGGATAAGCAAAGAGTAAAATTCATTCTTTCAGCAATAACTTGAATTTTTCAAACCTAATGGGTATTTAGGAAGCTTAGGATGCTACTATTCTAACTGATTAGTTAATGACAGTTGTGCACAAAAAAAAGTGATAGGATGGAAGCTATCCAAATTAGGAGAAACATTTCAAGGTAATTCATTTGGTATATTACATGGGAGCCAATTGTGGGAAATTGACATTAAAACTTCAAACACATTAATAGCAATTTTTGGATCAGAATATTTGGAGGAAAAATTCAATGATTCCTTAGAAAAAAGGTGCTTCAAGCTCATGTACTCACCCACTAGCAATGGAGTAATTGAAATCTTGGTGGAAGAATTTTGGCAGCGGTAAAGTTCCCATCATCGGCGGGGGCGTTGTGGGGTGACGACCAACGAATAAATCTATATCAGAGTGCTCCAGGCAGGTACCATTAAATTGACACGGATTACTCTCACATTCATTGATATCAATTTCACAGTTTTTCCCTAAAGAATAAGACATCGAAACACTTATCAATTTAAGGATATCAAAGTTCATAATTGGATGACATAAAGAAATTAATTTTGTGGTGAGGAAAAGGGCAAAAGATATTCTAGAAATAAATTATGAAAACTGCTGTATTAAACGACTCACGGACAAATAATAACTGAGAAAATAAATCAGAGAGTGTTTGTTTACCTGTGAAACCATTAAAGCAGATGCAATCATAGTCCTTCACTCCATCGACACACTTTGCTCCGTTTACACATGGATTGCTGATACAGTCATTGATGTTGACCTCACAATGAGCACCTGGTGGGTAAAAAAGATGAATAAATTACTTACTTCTACTTATGAGCAAAACTTTAAACCATGGGTCCAAGATTTAGTCCAGTCAATCTAGCTTTTTACCTCGGACAAATTAGCACAAACTTTTCCTTTGGTATATAGGGTCTCTAGGTACCCAATAAGACAGAAAAAAAAGTTTACCAAAAAATTNGATTCAGACTGAAAGTAACGTCAAATTCGAATTTCCTAGGTCGATATACTGGGATACACCAAATTTCATGAAAATCTGCCGACAAATAGGTGTTTTGCAGTTTTTTTCTTAGAATCTTTAACTGCGATAGTCTAAACGGTGAACGAATCAGATAAGCCCCCCCCCGGGTCCACCATCCCTCTAAGTGCTTCTCCCTTTACTATGTACCATGGCTATCAAATTAATAACAACATTTATTTCAAAAATAGTCGAATATTCGGGAAAAAGGTTCACACTGATCGAAATTTCAGCCAAAATTTACAAAAAGTAAAAAATGTCAAATTTGACACCATTCCATAAAGGCCCTATAAAGGTCTTTAACCTTCAGTTAAATTTTGATGTAATATGTGTTTTCAAAAGAAAATTTCATGCTCTTTCCAATGGTACCAACAGTTTTGAGAGAAAAAATTCTTTCATTGCTGTATCTTAAAAGTTACAAACCAAACTTGAAATTTCAAGAAAATTCTAGTCTTTTTTTTTCGGTGTCTGACCTCGTAGCTCGGCACCAACAAGTCAAAATTAAAAAAAACTACTATATATTCGTGAGCAGAATTTTATACTCTAAAAAAACGACAGGAATGATTTTTTTCACTGGATGCACTAGAATCACGCAAAATCGGGAAAACGGTGACGAAGTCAACAATTAATTTATCCGTTATTTCAGACGGCCGCCATTTTGTCATACGCAATTTTGACTGTGTTCCCGAGGGGGGCTAATGGTAAACTTTTTTTGGGGGGCTCTAGACATGTTTTGGAGCGCTTTAAAATACAAGAGAAGTTTGTGCTAATTTGTCCGAGGTTAGACCCTTTTTTTGGCTAGATTGACTGGACTAATTATGAATAAAAATTTGTCAATTGAAAATGCTCCTGTCAATTTCCTACTGTAACTTACACAGAACATTACGAGCTCAGGAGCTGATATTAGAAGAATTTCAAAAGCAACAAATAGGTACGATGCAGCACAGCACTTTTACAGGGTGAATTTTTTGAGGTTAAAAGATGACAGGAATAATTGAAATAAATGAAGTTATTTCACAAATTCAATATTGACCAAATCTGTGAAAAGGAACCTTATCTTCTGGGGAAATATTTTCTGTAACTTTTTGCTGATGCGTAGAAGAACAAAATCCGGGAATTTTGGCGCAAGTTTGACCCTAAAATCTCAAAAATTGAAGGAGATATTAGCCCTGTAGTTCCAAGACAAAATTTCTTAGGTTGTAAAAAAAGTGATTTAAGTGTTTGCAAAAACATAAGGAAAATTTTCTCCCAGGCCTACGGCCCTGTTTCATAGATCCCGCCACAATTAAAGTTGTATGATGGATTTTCAGGAGCCACAGAGAATTTCAAGTTGGAATGGTTTGGAAAATAATACAAATCATTGATATAAACAACTACTGAAAGCCACCTGTATATTCTTCACTGACTCTTCGATCAACTTACAACTGTAAAAAATAAAAGTCAATTAAAAAAACAAACAAACGACACATACCCTCATAACCAGTATCCGAGCAGTTGCATGTATAACTGTTGATACCATCAATGCAGGCACCATTGTGTAGACATGGAGATGACTAGTGATAAAACAAGCAAACAAAATATGATTAGAGCACCAGAATATTGGGTGGTGAAGTTGTTGCATATTCACCGAATTCGATTAATAAAAAAGTTAAATGAGAAAACCTGACGAACACTTTTGATTTGAGAGCCTAGAAATTCCAAATCATCAACTTCTGCCAGCTTCTTACTGGTTCAGCAATGAGTGTTACATTGGACACTCAGAATTGGATTTCCAAAAAGAAAACGCACAAATTACAAAGAAATTTGGTGGTGGCTGAATGTCATCATTTTACACTTGATATCCTTCGCAACCTCCTAAACTTGATAAGCTTTGAACTTTACTTCCTACTCCCCAATTTTGAGAAAAGCGGGGCTGAAAAGGGAATATTTCAGCATTTAAAGATGCATTTGTTAGTGGAAATGTTGCAAAATCAGATTAGTGATCGAAGTGAGATCTTCTTTCCCCGCCCACCGGAAGGATAAGACGGACACTCCCCATGATCACCAATTTGCTGCTGCAATACTTCTACTGGGAAGTGCTGATGAATTCACTGCAAAACCCCGCTTTCCGCAAAATTGGCAAATGGTGATAAGAATTTTCAAAGCTTATCATGCTTGAGAGATTGACAGGAACATCATACCAAAAAATAACAAAATTTACTTTCATTATTTTTTGCAAGCACCGAATTCGTTAGTAATTTGTGTAATTTCCTTTTGTGCCATTTTCCTTACTGCATTTTGCTGATAAGACCCAAAAATTAGGATATTAGCAGGTTTGCTTAAGGGATAATATAAACTTTACGAATAAAAATTAAAACAGGCAACCAATATAGTATCTCTTGGATGAGTGACAAATTGGGATTTTAACAACTGTATTCATTTGAAACTGAATCTGTTATGATTCAAATTTTGAATGGTGAAAATATTTCCTTACCTGGCAATCATCGATGTTAGTTTCACACACTATTCCAGTCAGACCTACAGGACATGCACAAGTGAAAGCTGCGATGCCATCTATACAAGTTGCTCCATGGAGGCAAGGATTTGATTGACATTCATTGATGTTTATGTTACACTCTTTCCCTGAAAAATGGATGGATACGATTTCACGGGTGAATAAAATGTATTGAATAATACACATATCAGGTGCAAGATCAAACTTATTCCTCAATGGCACTCCACAGCTTACTTTTTTGCTGGCGTGACTCACGAGGTAACAAATTACTGGATGAGATAAGAGGATGAGCACCGTAAAACGTGTGCCATCATCAAAATTATACTTTATAATATAAGTTCATAAGAGTAACGCATAACGCCTGGGGTGCAAAGCGCTCCAGAAGGTTGGACTTAGAAGCAGTCGGCTGGCATAGCACTCTAGTTTTAGATAGAAAACAAGGGACAAGTTGAAAATTTTCAAATCAACTAACGAGTGAAACAATACTTTTCTTGTTTTTGTTGGTTCAAACTTCCCCATTTATGAAAAAAAACCTCAAGTGTCCTCAAGTAAACTTGAACGTTAATACACTGCATGCTGCAGTATTTTTACACATGTTACACCAGCGCCATAGCTTGTCGAATTTTTAGGAATTTTAAAGAAATCTTTTGACTGACTCAACAAATACGTAAAATATTGAACCTGAGACCTTTTTCAAAGTGTGCACGATAAGAAGGTATTCAAATTATTTTGCAGGGGGATTTTCTTGTATTTTAGAGGAGTCAATGGAAGGATTGAAAAACTTGGTTTTTATTAAATTCTGGTTTGCGTAAAAATGAATTAATTTTAAATAATGTATAAATACATTGACTAATTAATGGAATACAGAAGTTATACCTGTGTAACCAGGCGTACAAATACAGCTGAAACCGTTGATTTTATTTTGGCAAGTGGCTCCGTTGAAGCATGGCTTTGACAAGCACTCATCAAAGTCAACATCGCAATGATCGCCAGAGAATCCAGGCCTGCAGAAGCACTGATAACTTCCTGCAAAAAAAGTTGAAAAAAGACAACTTAATTCTCATGAGGTCTCACAAGAGCATTACACTATCCTTACATACCACGCTGAGTGTGTTAGGCAACCCCTGAACTCCATTGTACGAATTTTCATCCGCAATTGGGTTCCCACACGCATGTTAGATTCTTCATTTGTGCATGTGATCTTATTTCTACAAAAATTTCAGAAGAAACAAAAAGGAGGGTTGTTACTGTAGAAAGAATAAAGGTATCCCAACGACCCAAGTAACTCTTTGGCTTCCTTCCAATGTGTCTTAAGAAATCCTTTGCCTCAAATCCCACTAATATATTCTTCATTCAATTAAAACAATTCTGTATTGATAAGGTCTTCTATGACTTGGATGGACTCTTAAATGCTCCTGTTTACAACTTGACTGATCTGTAGTATATTTTATAAATCTATGTAATGCTAAGCTGTTTTGGTGAGTTGTTAACAAAATTAATCTGTCTTTCTTACTTTTTCGATTCATTGATGACCTGTACCATGGCCAATCGGCTGTCACGTACAAATTAAAACAAATAAAATTAAAAGCCTAATAATTCAATTTTTTTGGATTCATTACTTACGTAGGAAACATATTATGGACATATAAGAACACACACAAGAAATAAAACTAAGCCTGTTCAAAAGCTAAACTAGTTGCTTGGAGTTCAAAAATTTGTAATAAAAATTCTTACCTGCGTTATTAACGCATATTCCATAGTTACAGATATCTTTGGTTTTTTCACATTCATTGATGTCAGCTTCACAGTGCCGACCTAGAGGATCAAGAGGGAGAGAAATTAATCATGTAACAATTCACATTTGATTGATTAATAAAAAAAACAATTCGCATTTGATTAAACGCTTATGGGGAAAGAGAGCTTTAAAAGTACCTGATTTATCTTTTAAACAACACATTACAAATAGCAATTTACAAATTGGAATCAGGATCCTTAAATTTTGATAAAATATAGATGAGGATGTGAAAAGAGAATTAACTTGAACTTGACTGGGCTTTACAGCATTTTTCTATCCAAACGTTTTCAGACAAAAAAATTCCATGGAATGCATAATTCTTCCTCTTTCTTTCGATACATTTTGAAAGTAATGACAGCTGCCCAAATCTGTTCCAACAACTGTTCATGACGGTTAACAACTGTCTATTCAGTATCTGTTGATGTTGATAATATACATCCTTTGGACTTTTATTTCACGTTACATTCCATGGTTCCAAATCTAGAGGGTGAACATTTAGCAATAAGACTTTATTATAATAGAAAATAACGATGAATATCCAATAAAATAACAGTACTACAAATGCGCAACACTTTAGAAATGTCACCTTCTCTGTACTAAACTCACTAGGATTATTTAAAATGAAAAGTGTTGAACCCTGAAAACAACATAGCATATCACAATTTCTAGAAAATCTTACTTCTGAGATTAATGACTTCGACTAATAGGATACGTACCTTCAAAACCTGGTGGACAATGACAAGTGTAGTTGTGCGGAGTATCCTCACAGGTGGCATTATGTTTACATGGACTGTTGCTACAATGGCTTATATTTTCAGAGCAGTTTTCGCCGATGAAACCGTCTGGGCACCGACACTCGTAACTATTGACAAGATCCACGCAGACTCTCTTATCAGGGCACTCCACATGCAAACAGTCGTTAATGTTCTTCTCACAATTCTGACCTTCAAAACCTAAAAAACAAAAAAAATAATTGGGGTTAAATAAAAGACATGAGACGGCTAGAATTATTATCCAACACTACTGCATTATACTATCAGTTCAAAAAATTTTGAGATAATTGGAGGCTCTGGTTGAGGTTTTACGATAATACGTCTGCTGCCAAAATTACTTCTTTTCTTTCCTATTTTGGTTGGAGAGTAGATCTCCAATCTGAAGACACAAAATTGAACTAAAATATTAGGAAAAACTTTTTTTAGAATTGTAGAGAAAACTTTCAGTTAAAATCCAAAATTTCATTTTTCTATACAACCTAAAAAAACTTTTTTCTGAGGACTGGGTTCTTGCATTAAAATTTTTTCACCAGTAAATGGCCATAATTAATATTCACAAGATAGTTTAAAATTGTGCTTACTACGCACTGAGAATGAAATGAAAATCTTACCGCTCTTGCATTCACAGACGTAATCTCTGGATGTTTTATTAATGCAGGTTCCATTGTTTTCGCAGGGGTTGAAAGCACAGACGTTATAGTCGAGCTCACAGTTGGCACCCATGAAATCTTCTGAGCAGTTACATCGGTAGCCATTGATGCCATCCAGACAGATTCCACCGTTCATGCACGGCTTTGATGAACACTCATCCACGTTCAACTCACAGAGAGCCCCTAAAATTGAGCAGAAGCAAATGATGATACTTAAGCTGGATGAAATTTGTTAGACTTAACAAATAAATTAACAACTCATTGAGACACTTATCAGAATTCTCTGGCCAAAATCATCCTCATTTTCTGTTTGGAATCTCTGTGCATGGACCCATGTTCCATAAGAAATCCGGGTGGCTGATTTATGGTAAAAATGAGGAATTGTTCAAATCCAATGAGAAGACCTTACAGAAGTATCAGGGCCGCTAGATACACAGCACAGCATCCAAAAAAAGTAAATTATCGGGGACTTTTGAATTTCGCCAAAAGAAGTCTGAAACTGCCTTATTGAAGAACCAGCGATATAGAAACTTGGAGGCCATCAAACTTTGTCCTCAGATGGGGCCTTTCAGGCGGCAAAATATCTTCCATGTCAAGAGAAAGCCACATTCTTATTGAGTGTTTAACAAATCTCAAGGATTAAAAATTTAAAATTGATAGTTTGCCAACAATGTTACATTGACAGGCGAATGTGGATTTATGCGTTTTCCTTCATGATTGATCACGATTTTTTAGGAAATGTTCAACCTCTCCCCGCAAAGGAGGATTCATGAACGCTACTTTTAGGATATCTACACCACACTCATCACAAGATAGCTCTTATCTGTGCAAAAAACGAAAATTTGAAAGACACGAGAATGGGATTTTCCAAAAGATGCATATTTACTTATCCCTTTTCACTTGAAATGTTCTCAATGAAAAAGTTAACGATTCTTACAATGTAACAAGTAATGAAAAAAATTATGAGAAAATAAGTCTTGAAAATCACTAGGGTATCAAAAGGAATAATGAACACAGCCACTCAATTTGTAAACATGGTAAGGAATCCTTCGGTTCATGATGCAAAAAGTAATTTTTTCAACGCTGCCTGAAAAAAACTATGAGTAATGGTAATGACCTTCTCCCAACCATGAACATTGAAGTTAATATAGAAAATACAGTAATTTGTGCAAGGTTTTACAGTGGAGGTAAATCACCACATATTATTTTTGGAGTTGAATGGAAAATTGTATGACATTAGAACTTGAAATGAAGTTGCCAATGGACATAAGTGGTAGCATCTGAGCAATACCCTCTTGACAGAGGTGCCAAAAATTAAACTTTCTTATGAAAGGATTATTTTTTGTCGAATAATTTTATAAAGGGAAGTCCGTTCACAAGTAGACAAGACCAGATTCTGTAAGTATCTACTTTGATTTTAGCAACTAAGACTGCAAGGACTTATCAACAGAGAAAATACCAAATGACGTATCTCATTTGAGGAGGGGTTTAAAAATCTCTGCTCCTGTTTTATTTTTTTGAAGGAGAACAAATCAACATCATTCCTTGAAGTTTTCTAAGCATTGCTTTGAATGAAGAAGTAAAATCATGGAGGTTTTTAAGAATTGACGTGGAGCAGTTCTCTATTTGAAAAATAAGTATGACTGGAGATCCATAACGGCTCAAACCGAAATATGTGGTTTGGGAGTTTCACCATCGTTAAACATTTCACTTAAAGAAGAAAAAGTTGAGTTACATGTCACGGTGAAAATTGTTACAAATGCTTGTAAATGCTTAATTTGTGTAGGATGCAGGGCACTTTACATCTTATCCATTGTAAAATCTTGCAAAAGCTTAAAATGGACAGAATGAAACAACTGCGAACACCAACCACCTACCAGTGAACTGTGGAGGACAAATGCAGAAATATCTGTCAGCTGAGATGGAGATGCATGATCCGCTGTTTAGGCACGGCTTCAAAAAGCAGTCGTGAATATACAGTTGACCCGTTAAACCAATAAGGCATGTGCAATTATACCCAAGAGTGAGCTAGAGATTGGTAAAAGTGCGCAAGAAAGATATGAGAAAACAGTGAGCCCGTAAACCAGAAAAGTATTAAGACAAGAGCAAGAAATTATTTTGATGTGAGTTCAGGCTAATTTTGATTTTGTTATGTTCAATCTTTGAAGTCTAGTCAAACATAGGTCAGTTAAAATTTAACAGGAGAAATTGATAGATTGGTATTTTAACCATTGTTTTGATTTTTCATCCATCAGCTGTAAAAAGCACACATATGATGTGAACACCACAAAAGCTACTGATTTCCTGCGTGTTACTTCTTCCACCATTAAATCAGCCATTGCGATCTCTGATGATTGCATCTCTGACAGTGTGAAGTACCTTTCAGACTTCAACATTTTTTCATTTTTGAGAGGAATTTTCGCCAGTGATAACAAAGAAATTACAAAATAGACTGTAGAATGGCCTAACTAGTTTATTAAAATGGTGCAGAAAAAGACGTTAGCTGCGTAAATGTTAACTAAATACATTCATTCAATCACTGTGTTCGAAAAGCTTTTAAATCTAAGTTATGTTTCTTTATTAAATGATAATAAAACCAAGAAAATCAAAGAAATTGAGTATTCCTTTCATGACTTTCATCATAAGTTTCACTGCTGGAACTTCTATGGAAAATTAGAAGTAAGTTAACCAAGTAAAATACTCCAACAATAATGGGTCAGTTGTGCTGGTCACAGAATCGTGTTTTGATACACATCTAGAATTTGAAGATGGAATTTGCAGAGATAATTTTTTCAAGCAGAGTTCAGTTTCAGAGATCTCTATTGTCCTTAGTCTGTGTAGAAAGCCCAAAAAAGCATACATAAAAAGTCTTGTTTATTTTACACAACTTAAACAAACTTGAAAACTGCGACCACTTTTGTGTTTACCTTTCACTTATTCATTTTCCTTTTATCAAAAAACAAAAAAAGAGAAAAAAAAACCCAATTGATGGCTTAAGTGGAAAATTGCGTACCTCAGATTGCAACGTTGTGAATCTCACCTTATGCTTTAGTTTTGTTAAGGAAAACTAAGTAGCAGTTTCTAATGACATTTTTTGTCAATTTCCTTTCTTCATGGTCAAAAAATCATGCAAAAATGCAAAGAAACATTGTGACAAGTTTTCCTTGAAGAAAACAAGACATAATTAAAGATTTTTTAACATAGCAATTAAGTTCACACTCGACCATAGCGACGATAATGTTCGATGGTGAAACTGCAGAAATGCGTATCTCCGTTTGCGGTGTACAGGCATCTTGTCATACTTCGTTTTCTACGTAGAAAACTACTGAACGTCTTTTCTTCAAAACTTATGAGAATTTTCTTTTCTAGAGAAGAATATTCTTTGAAAATTTCAAGATATGATGTTGGATCAGTCTCCTTTTTAAAAATAAAACAGGAGTGGAGATTTTGAGACACCGCAACCGAGATACGCATTTTTGCAGTTTCATCATAGATTTAGGAAGCAGCAGTTTTATTGGAAGTGCTAGAATAAATGCAATTATGCAAATTGCAATTACTGACCAAAAAAACCTGAGCATTCTATAGGCAAGAGAGGAAAATTTCATCAACTCAAAGTCATATTCTGAAGATGGTTTGCGTTAAAAGATTAAAATACTTGACCTCTTAGTTCAAAATAAAAAAAATGTCAGTACTCTCAGTGGCAGACTTTATTCTTAAGAACAACTCAAGCACATACAAATGCGGGAAAAAAGTAAAAGCAAAATAGAGGATTCTCACATCATTTCTGCAGTCTTCACTGCCGTCACACAGCTGTAAAATATTGTCAGGATCAAGGTCCACGATGATCTCATTTCCCTCCTCTTCTTCTAGGTTGCTCCAATCGCCACCTTCTTGGATCTGATTTTTTTCGTTCGGATCAATTATAGCATCGTTTTTGTTTGTCGTGTCAGAGGCAGATAATTTGTTGTTCTTGTCGTTAGTGTAGTCAGTGAGGTCAGCATTTATTCCATACAAGCAGAAAACACCTGAGCATGCAAAACATGCAGAAGAAAGTCATTCCTGAGAGAGTGATCAACTGGCTGATTTGGACTCAAAGTAGATTGTTCTCATTTTTTACCTTCAAGATTTCTATTTCAGCACAATATTTGAAGCATGTAATTATAGATGCACCATTTTAACTTTTTATGTTAGACGATTTAGAATTACCCACAATCCAATGTAAAAATAGCAAACAAAACAATTAAAGCTTAAATTTATTGGACTACATGTATCAAATAGGAGCTACTATTTTTGGCTCCCACACGAAAGCATCTGGTTGCACAGATAAAGTCGTGTCAAATACCGTGAAATAACATGAAAACACTTCATTAAATAATGAGTTGTTTTCTAAATGAGCTAGAAATAGTGATACCCTATTGTAAACTGTAGTCCAATAATGCTTCTTTCACCAAATGAACAGATGAGATGGAAAGAGGAAAATAAAAAGTCCAGAGAGGGCATGCAAAAAATCAAATCCTTATGAACTAAGTAAAATACCAGAGGAGTAAGATTCCCAAAGACTGAAATCATGCAACAAGTAAGAAAATAATTCAATTGCTGAGCATAGTCATCGTGGATAATTAGACGTTTAATTCATGCATTTTTGTTCTCTTATTGAGGGAAGACAATTTCAAGTAAAATGCACCTATAGAAGATCAGTCTGGTTATATTTAAAAGTGGCCTCCCAGATCAATGAGCATGCGCTGAAAATCGTATGAGTATAATGAGGGAAAACGGCAAGAGCAAGAGGCAAAATTACCTGTATAGCCTGGTGCACAAGTACAATTGAACATGTCAAGGTAAGGATTGCAAGTACCACCATTCAAGCAAGGTGCGCTCATACAAATGTTCGTCTCGCTACAATTCATACCTGATGGAAATATCAATAGTTAGACATGCATTTGGACATTTCAGGATGAGTCTTACTGACAGACGAGTTACTTTGGTGATGCTCCAAATTCGGAGGGGTTAAAAAAGCTAATTTGAGGAATTTTGCCCAAAAGGTTGAACCTGGGTGTATATTTTTAAAGAAAAGATGGCAACGCATAGTATGTTTCTGCAGAATTGGCATTAACGAGTGATTATTCTAAATTTTGTTCGTAGCAAATTAATGGTCTATAAATATCTTGTGCATCTTCAACTCCTTGTAGATAATAAGAATAAAAAAAGGAACTAATTGGCCTAGAATACTCTATAAAAGAAAAAAAATGACATACGATTCTGAAAAAGTCACCAGAAATAGCATCAAATTATTTAAGGGCTCTATATTCTTGTTTTTACTGAGCTAATTTGTTTGTAAGAGACCGTAACAAACCCCAAAAATGTAGGGACTCACTGTCATTGAGCCCTCAATGTTTTTTACTCCCCCTTTACTTTTACTATGATCATTGATAAACCGTTGAATATGTCATCGTAATATTATTCTGAAATGATACCATGGAGAATTTTCCAAAAATATGCACATTTCTCAATTTTTCTTATCTTTTTCATTTTAAGTAGCTGGTGCTGCTGAGTCTACGTGAAATTGGAATGCTTGAATCAAATACTAGGTGTGTTCTGATAAGACTGATGGAAGAAAGAGAGCAGGGCAGGTTGACTGTCAGAGAATGAAGAAACCATGCAAAGTGCTTATAAAAACTAGGAAGTCAATTGTTAAGAATAACTCTACGAAATTAAAGACAAAACAAATTGAGGAAAGATTTATGAAAATTTTCAACCCTACTAAGCAGTTTGCTACATTATGTTATACTGCAAAAATAAGAGCTATGAAAAAAATAACTCTTTTAAAACAGATAATTAAAAGAATGTTACTTCTTCTAAAGAAAAAAGAAAAAATGACGTGAGTTTTTCTTCAGTGCTGATGGATAGAAATGCACTAAAATAGATTAAAAAAAGGGAGGAAGAGAATTAGATTTTGTTTTCAAAACATTCAGCTACAGTGCTTATCTTGCTTTCAAGTATATCAGGCAAAAAATATTGGTGACAAAATGAATACCTGGAGGGCAGGCACATTCATACGAATTCTTTTTCCCCGGCACCAAACGACATGATCCATTGTTGCCGCAGGTCTTATCGTCACAAGTTGTCATTAGCAGCTCATCTTCACAATTTTGTCCTAGGGTGAGGAAAGAAATTACAATATAAAATGTGAGAATATGCAACGCTCCTATCACTTGATATTCTACGAGCACAAGCGATTAAAGAAAAATCACAATAAAATATTAAGACAAAAAGGGTATCATTAATAATGTACCTTCTTCCCATGAGATCATTCTTATGCATTCTCTCTACCTCTTCCAAGACCGACATAAATTTTCAACAAGTCCAAAAATAATTTTTATGTTTTAATTTACAAATACAACTCAGGGGCTAATTCTGTGCCTATACACCCTCCTTACACCCAGTTGCAGGCGACCCTTGCCTGAGACCGTCAAACTCAGGTTACCAGGCTGGGAAATAAACCGCCGACCTCCTGATTGAAAGGTCCTGCACTACATCTACTGTGCCACAGGAGGCTGACACAAAGGACGATCTAAATTTCTGCAGTGACATTCTCTCTTTTCAGACACATTGTTGAAACTGTTTAAACAGAAAATTTTTGGTAGAAACACCAAGTTTGAATCTATGATTACTTTTAAAATTGTTGAGAGGAAACACTTTTTAAGTTGCATTACATAATGACATTTGTTATAAGTCTGAAGAAGTTAAATCTCTATTACACCCCTGGAACTTTCTGGGCGTAAAATCCATAACGAAGCATCAGAAAAAATCTACTAGTAATTCATTTTTAACTAGGTTTAAGACGAAAAGAAAAAGAACAGAACAGAGTTGTTGATCAGTGAAATATAAAGGGCTCTATTACTCCACTTATGTTTGAACATCTTCATGGCTAAGACTTCTCTCCTCAAAACTGAATACTATGCTTGGTAAAAAAACTACTGGTGATCATTTAGTGTTCCCGAATCCAAAAAAGAGTTTGCTCTTACTTTGCATTGCTTCTTTAGGAAACGTGCACTTTGGTGCCTGTATCACCTGTCTCCAAGGATTGTGTGGAAATCAATATGATTATTGAGGGATCATTTTGGAAATGAGCAGAAGAAATTACACTAGGGATTATGTATTATAATAATAAATTGTACCGGTAAATCCAGGTGGGCAGTGACAAATGTAGTCTCCTCTCGGTGTTTCTTGACAAACGCCATTATTTTCACATGGATTGACATTAGGTGCACACGGTGAGCCTAAAAAATTCAATACATGGAATCAAATGGGGAAGCACGGTGTAATTAAAATAAGAGGTAAATATACTGGATCACATAAGAGTCCGAAAGTGACTTTTTTAAGGAGTGTGGTATGGATACTTGAAATTCATAAAAATCATGCGAATTAAGAGCTAGAATAATCATAAAGTGCTTTTGATAATCTTATCTGTGCAGAAGTTCAAGGTATAAAATGAGGAAATAATGTGTCTCATGCTAGGAAAGGTGCCTGACGATACATCATGAACTTTACTTAAATAATTGCAAGTCATAAAACTACTGACATACATTTATGATATGTTGAGAAATAGAAAACGAAGAATATAGGGTTGATCATATATCAATGGCAAACTAGAAAAACATAGGCTTCAGGTTTTTCATCCACAAGTATTAAGGAGGATTGAATCCAAATTTCTCGAAAAATGAATTAAGTATATCCTAAGAAATCCTGCACTTAAAACTCATAGAGTCAGCAGTGCCAACTTTTTGAATTGTTTTCCACGCAATTGGCTTTTAAAATCAAACAAAATGAATGTGAAATAATCTCATATTTATGTGCAACATCCATGTTTAAAATGTTGCAAAAGCAGATTGGTGACCAAACTGAGCTTTCCTTTCTCACTGGCCTAGAGGATAAGACACACAAAAAGAACTAAATTCCTTCAAATGATAACAGCGTCCATCTCATCAACTGTTTCCCAACAAAGGCTCAGCTAATTTGAAACAGCTAGTGGAAGTGCTACATCTTAAGGAGAAAACATACCTGAAAATGCTAAAAAACTTATCTCAAAATTGCTACTTAAGAAGTTTGATTTTAATAGCTTGTTGTGCCATAAAATTAGTAAAAAATATCATATATCAAATAAAGCAAATGTTGACAAGCAAAACTCTTGGTTTTAGGAGCAAGGTCACACTTGAGTAAAAACAGGCCACTGAAAATAAATGAATACGCGAAGAACTGAGAAAATTACCATTATCAATCTCGCAGTTGTTGCCTGAATACCTAGCTGAACACTGGCATAGGTATCGATCTCCTCTTTGGAAACAAACACCGTGCGTCAAGCAAGGATCAAGTGCGCATAGGTCTGCTATGTTACCTGCACAAGCAATTCATGAGTCATGCAAAATATACAACTATGTGCTTCAAAAGAATTGACATTCCTTCAAGAAGATTTTCTAAGTATATAAAGGGGGCCTTGAACACAAGCTACAAAGGACACTTTTTGGCAAAAATAACCGTGCAACGTGCGTACTATCAGGCGCTAGCACCTGGTGCAACCACAATTTACGTTTCTGATTAATCATGAGGTGAAGTAAAAAATCATAAGCCTGATTGAAGTAGGGCTGAATGTTTCTGATACTTTCTAGGGAGTTCAGAGACCACATTTTGCGGTAAAATAATAAGTTTCATCATTAGTTTTACGATTTAAAGTTCACCTGTCAGTCACCAGAACCTGAAACATCCTAAAGTTAAGAATAGAGTCAGGCGTTATTTATTTGCATTCCATGAAAACGCTAATGGATTCCACAAATGTATCACAAGATAAGGACTTAGAGGTTGATCCTTTATGGTGGGATTGCAATAAGGGCAGAGTTGTTTTGACCTTTCTAAGTGGTTCACTAACTAACATATTAGCCTTCTTATTTTTGTTTTTTCTGATATGTCTTATAATTATTTGAGCTTTCTGTAAAAACTTCACCAAAAATTACTGAATTTTTTGCTTTACATATAAAATAGTAACTAAAAAAGACACAAATAATGTGAGTGCCGACCATGCTTGTGATGTAAAAAATGATGATCCAATACAGAGTGTTCATCCTATAAGCTCTGTGTAATCAATTAAGAGTTATGGGTGCAAAAATACTACAAGAACTGAGGTATTTCTATTCTGCAATCCAACAGCAAATAAAATCAAAAATTAAGTCGCATGTAAAGACCAAAACAAGACATTAATCTGAGCAAATAATTTGAAAGGCATGCATTTCTCATTCAATTTAAACGAAGACCAAGTTATGTACTTGCTGTGCAAAATATTGGATTAAAAACTGCCGACTGTACATGGTTATACTTACAAGGTTCATCATCCATAATACAAGGTCCCCAAATGACGTTGAATGACTGCACTGAAGTTGAGTTCAGAACTATGCTTGGCCCTTCTTGAATGCATCCCACAAAGCCTTTTCCGACTAGAAATTCTGGGTTGTCGTTCGCGTTAAAAGCTATTTTCAAAATCTCCGGGTTAAAGGTTGCATTGGCAATTAGCTGAAAAAAGTCATGACAGAGTATTTTAGAAAAATTGGTTGCAAGATATCACACGTTTACATCAGCTTCACGTTAAATTTAATTAGCAATTTTTACATAAAAAAATATTAAAATAACAAAAAAAACTATCAGGAATCGATGGTCAAATAAAGCCACAATTTTGCAATTCATCTCAGATGAAAAAAAACTGTACCTACTTTCGTTACAATATTTTAAGGGAGATATTAATGTGTCAAGCTACTCACCTGAGAATGACCAGAAACTGATATAGAGAGATTTCCAGATCTATACAATAACGTAACAGTATGCCAGGTATTGTCCAGTAAATTAACGTTCAGTCTTGTTTCAAATCGTTTAGAGGCAACGATTGCAATGAAAACCACACCCTCTCGATGTACTTCTAAAATTATTTGTTGATTGTTCAGTGCCGACCTGAAACACAAACAGAAAATATTCACTCACATAAATCTTGAGTGGATTCACTTACTTTATTTCAATGTTGCTTTAAAATTCTCGGCAGTGCATGCCTTTGGGATAAAAATTAAAATAAAGGATGTTGAAATGCGCAGATTTGTCCAAAAATATTATCGATGAGAAACTTATAATTCCAAATTTTTCCTCGCAAAATATAGAAAAAAAGAATAACTAGCACTGCTAGTGATCTATTCATGAAGGGAGGGGGTTCCGGTCAATGGTAGGAAAGAAAAAATCTGATCTAAAAATTAACAATTTAAGAAAATTACTTTCCCTCTTGATGTCGGATCTGGATCAAAGAGCGTGTTGTGGGCATCGATCATCATGGGCCGTAGATTAAGAGTATGCATGCCGTTCGAATTCGAAATAGTGCTTATATTGGACGTATTTCTGTCAAACGGAACTATGTGCATTGTGACGTGAGCCCTGTTATGTATGTATTCTTATGGGTCTCAGGGCTCATGTCTTAATGCACATAGTTCCGTTTGATAGAAATACGTCCAATTCACACCTTGTCTGATAGTCCATTCCATTTTTAAATTAAATTCTAAGATTTTTCCTGATTTTTGACGTGGAAACGTTTCAAACATAAGGGTATGAACTTCCCTGTGACAGGTTTGACCTCTCATTAAATTTTTCAGAATTTTTGGCACTGAATTATAATACTTATTGCACATTTAAATCGATGCTTTATAAAGAACAAATTATTTAAAAGTTTGATAGTTGAAAATTCTACTTCATCAAATTTAAGAAACATTGGTATTTTGATCAATGTTTCCTCTTCAGGAACCAGTATACTAAGACATCTGCGTCCTAAACATTAAAACCTGTTAGGTCTTTCTTTACAATTTGATAATCTGCCTAGGTATTTGATCAAATGCCTGATTTGGCTGATTTGCTCGACGACGGCATCATTAGCGGATCTAACAAATAGGCAACATTGTTTGTTTCCCTGTTTAAACCTATAGAAATGTATCGATTCTTGAAGGGGCCAGGTGCTCCGACATGAATCAATTATTTAACACAGGTTTAAATGGCGGATATTCGGTGTTGCCAAATTGCTGGATCCGCCTCTGGACGTCAAATTGAATTCAAGCTCGTACGAAAAAACTTCGCTCGATCGCAACTTGAGGTGTTATTGGGGAGAGGAGACTGACCTTTGCGTGAAAAGCTGGCCGCCGACACAGGACTTAAAACTTAAAGCTATGTGTTGATTTAAGGCTATGGGAGTCAGTCTTGCGTAAGAGGTGACGTTGAAGAATCCCTCCCTGTGGGGAAGGGATAGCGACGGCGCGCTCGACGTGAGGGACGGCGGCCCTGGGGTGGAATCCAGCGAGGAGCCCGGAAGTTGTATCGAAAATGTCGGCGCACAGGACGTCAGGAACAAGACCCCAAGTGGTAAAAGCGACCATCCTGAAAACAGAGAAAGTTAAAAAATGGATTAATTCCATGATGAAAAATTAAGGAAGCAGGTGCACACACTCATAAACAAAAACAAAAAACAAATGCCGAGGAGAGGCATGGACAGATCTAAGGAGGGCGAAAGGGGCGTAGCCCCCCCCCACCGTTTACCTGTAAAAAAGAAGGAAGAAGGAGAGAAGGAAGGAACGGAGGAAAGAAGAAAGAAGAGAGAAGGAAACTTATATTCATAATGCAATTTATTCAATGCTTTCGAACATTTTCTGGGGAAGACCCCGGACCCCCCTTCCACCCCCATCGCTTTGATCAGGTCATGTAACTCTTGGGGCCTAAAAAGGCAGTCAACCTATGGACTCGAATTATCCAGTGGTGCTTATACGAAATTACTCCAAAATACTCCGAAAATACTCCGAAAATACTCCAAGAGTACATTGATCAAAAATTATAAAAGCACGTATAAAACTTTGATTTCGCATACATTTTCTCAGTTTCGACGTCTTAATCCTTAAAACGCTTATTTACAATGCGCTGTCGGCCCTATCGATTAATCTTCCAAATGCATAGGTTGGCAGCGGCACTTTTCTAGTGATTTTCGTTTTTCACGTTGTCGTCCTTTTGGGCCCTAAGAGCTACGTAAATCGAGTTGTCCGTACTCTCCCTATAAAGATACTCTAAGCGGAGGGCCGCGTAGCGTCCGGGGGCGTAACATCCTAATTTTAAAATATTTTTTTCCAATTTTCCATTTCAAAAAGAGGAAATTGTGGGAAACCCGTGAACTTAGCTCATGAAGTATTTCAAAGGTAGCAATAAGATTTCCTCTTTCAATTCACGATTTTGGGATAGCAATGGGCGGACAAGCTAATATTAGAACAGTGAGGGGAAAGAAAAAAGAAGGGGGGAGGAATGGATGAATGACCCCCCAGAAACTGAAAAAGACATCCGTCATGTATAATATGCATCGGGGTAGAGTAAAAATTAGCATGTGGCGAGCGTAGAAAGTTTCCGATGAATGCGATCGAGGCCAGAAGAAAAGTTATGAGAAAAATCACGGAGCGAAATGGGGGAAAAGAGCATAGCATGACGGTCGAAAAACGCATTTTTTTCCGACGCGCCGTGGCGTGTCCCNGGGGGGGGGGGGGGGGGAGAGCTGGTTGGCTGTATGTCGCGAAGAAGTCGTGCGAGCCGTCGGGGGATGACAATACACGAGAAAGGAGCGGCACACGTTCGACGCCGTACAGTGGATCGAGTCGTAGGAGAGGTCGGACAAAATTTGGAAACTTCAAACGCTTATAACTCCGTTTATACAAACTTTGAGGTTCTAAAAGTTGTTCCACTGGTTTCCTCGTAGAATTTTCTTTGAGAAGCACCCATTACAATTTAAAATGTGACGAAAAATAAACATCAAAAGTAGCAGTTTTTGTCAAAAATGTCATGTCCGACCTATCTAGTTGACTCGCTCCACTGTGCGACACGGGATGCGCGGAGACTCGAACGCGCGGATAGGAAAGAGAGCGTAGAAGTCATCCGTCATCGAAATCATGTGCGGCGCTTGTTCCCGCCTCCCGTTGCCCGACACCGGTGAAAATAAATGAATAACGCTCTGCACGGTGAGCATTACCGTCGTGCACCGGCAAAACATCGTAAGAACATTATACGTTGCCAAAGTTTCTCCGATTGAACACGCACTGAAAAAAAATTTCTTGGGATATTATTTTGACTTGAAGCGTCGTTTCTTTGTCAACAAAATTTGTTTTTTTTTTTTTTTTTTTATTTTTTTGTATTTTTTTAAGTTAAATTTGTGCGGATTGAACCTAAGGTCACCTCCTACGTCCATTACTACCACCCGCTTCCATCAATAAAATTGCTCCATATCTCTTTTCTTTTCTTTGTCTAGAGCTTTGTCTATCAAATTCAGCAATCAGCCCGCAGGAATCAGTGGAGCAAGTCTTCGTTCCCCTCACGAAAGAAACAACTACATTTCAGGGTTGCCAACTGTCCCCTCGCAAACAATTCAACTAGGGGAATCTTGGGTACTTCTAACTGAGAATGCCACTAATTTTTCTTCTAATCTCGAGCAAAAATCAGAATTTTGGATACGAATCGCACAGGGACTTTCTTGTAAAAAATTGAATTGTGAGTCGATTTTGCAACCTTGGAATGGAGTTACGTTTTTGTGCGGGAAACGACGAATGGCCGAAAAACTGCAACACGGCACTCGCGCGTTGAGTGTATGGAGCCGAGCTCCGCGACCGAAGGGCCAAATCGTTCAAAAAACTAGCATTCCCCATTCGCACATGTACAAAATTGCCGAGCTAAGAAAGAGCGCCGTATAAACCTTCAGGCGTTACCATGTTTCTTTCAATAAAAAACGAATTTACTGAGAAAACTCTGAACAAATTCCCTCCAATTTTTCAGACAATTTTGTTGAAAATTTAACCTAAAACATCTGAAAATTTCGAGGAAAAGTACGCATAACTTCCCTTAAAAATAAATATTTTGTCGGGGGAAACTTGGCAACAGCAGGATGCTCATACGGCGTTCTTGGCCACCGAGCCGTGGCCCAATTTTTCGCTCTCCGGAGGTGCTCACCGTTCACACGTGCGAATATTCCTCCCCGCGTAGCGCCGCGACTATGATTGTCTTGCCGGCCATTATTGATTTTCATCTTTCGCTCTCATTTTTTTCGTCGCTTGATTTGAACCCGATCGCACCAAATCCAACAGCGCACAATGGTTCGAGTCAATAGGAGAGGTCGGACGAAATTTGGAAATTTTAAACGCTGATAACTCCGTTTATACACAACTTGGAAGTGCTAGAAGTGGTTCCACTGGTTTTCTCGTGAAATTTTCTTCAAGTAATACCCCTTAAAGTTTAGAATGTGACGAAATTAACATAAAAAGGACCCTACAACAAAACGGCCAAATCGGCCTAAACACGGAATCGTACGATTTTCTCAGGGATGATAGAGGGTCTTCCCAGACACTCAAAACTGGTCATATTTTTTGCCTAACCCCCAGGGAAAAGGGGGGAGAGGGGGTCAAAGTCAAAACCTTTAAATTAGCATAACTTCTCAACGGTTTGTCGTAGAAAGATGATCTTGGTGTCAAAATTTCCAGAAAAATGAGAGCTTTCAGAATATATGTATGAAATTAATTAAATTTTAAAATTTGACCCACTTTTGGGGCATTTTACAAGGTCCCCCTTTCGTAAATTTTCGTTTTTTGAGATTTTCGGTTGTTCGGTTCGCACGGATCAAAACAAAAACAATTTCAAATGAAAGTAGAGCGTTTAAGCTTTAAAACAAGCCCAAGATGATCTTGGGGAAACGATTAGAAGCGGAGTTATGAGTCTTCAAAGTTGACGCGGCGCGCGGGAACCTTGTATGTTCCGAGTCTCAAGGTCACCTGCGCGCCCCGGATTGCCTGCAGGTTGCAAGTTTTTGTGTTTTTATGCTTCTGTAGGTCATTTTTAATGTAAATCATTCAATGAAGATAGAATAATCGAAATTTTTTAATTTTACGGGAGGAGCGAGAGGGGGCTTAGAGTATCAACCATTATGTCCATCATACCTCATTAAACATTTGCTGACGATGACGATTCTGCTCTTATAATTTAGAAGAAACCATGGACCCTCAGTTCAAATATACATATGCTCCATACAGAACTGAACCATTTAGAAATTATAACCCATTGATGCCAAATTTTGGGGTACCCCTAATTTTAAATTTTTTTAATTGAGCTATAAGCTACAGCGCTTGACGGAACTCACATGGTAAAGCCAAATAGTTTCTCGTAGAAGCAGACGAGCTTTGAGCTTCAAAACAAGTCTTAGTTATTCTTGAGGGGGCTACTTGAAATGCAGTTAAAATTTTTTGACGTTAATGAGGTGTACTTACCTCGCCCGAGGCCCATTGTGTAAAATTAAAAAAATTCTGATTATTCTATCTTCATTGAATGATTTACATTAAAAATGACCTACAGAAGCATAAAAACACAAAAACTTGCAACCTGCAGGCAATCCGGGGCGCGCAGGTGACCTTGAGACTCTGAACATACAAGGTTCCCGCGCGCCGCGTCAACTTTGAAGACTCATAACTCCGCTTCTAATCGTTTCCCCAAAATCATCTTGGGCTTGTTTTAAAGCTTAAACGCTCTACTTTCATTTGAAATTGTTTTTGTCTTAATCCGTGCGAACCGAACAACCGAAAATCTCAAGAAACGAAAATTTACGAAAGGGGGACCTTGTAAAATGCCCCAAAAGTGGGTCAAATTTTAAAATTTAATTAATTTCATACATATATTCTAAAAGCTCTCATTTTTCTGGAAATTTTGACGCCAAGATCATCTTTCTACGACAAACCGTTGAGAAGTTATGCTAATTTAAAGGTTTTGACTTTGACCCCCTCTCCCCCCTTTTCCCTGGGGGTTAGGCAAAAAATATGACCAGTTTTGAGTGTCTGGGGAGACCCTCTATCATCCCTGAGAAAATCGCACGATTCCGTGTTTAGGCCGATTTGGCCGTTTTGTTGTAGGGTCCTTTGCAGTTTTAGTAAAAAATTTGATGTTCAACCTCTCTAATTGACTCGATCCACAGTGCGGCGAGTGTGTTTGCTTTGGATTGGATCCACTCGCGCGTAGCTCTACGGCCGAAACCACCGGTGTTCGATTAATCGAGCATCGTACCGAAAATAGGAGATTTAAAAAAAAACTGATATTTGTAGCGTAAAATGATAAGACGGATTCAATTCACATTGAGGTTAAATAAAATCGCGGTGTCTAGAACTTCTTTTTCATTTTCGATCTTTTCCAATCTCGTCCCGGATTTTTCCTGATTTCTAAGACAAATTTCCCTCATAAAATGCTAGGGTTTTTCGACGATCGTGGTGTCAACAAACAGTTTTTCAACGTGGTCTGTATGGAGGTACGTGTTTTACCTCCGTTTGATGAGATCCGAAAAATTTCGAAAATTTGAAATTCTCGCTCGGATTGCGACA